TTTTTTTTATTAATAAAATTTTATTTATCGTATTGTTCTTAGAAAATCGCGCTGATTTTGTTGAACGTACTTCAAATTTATTTCAGCAATATGTTGCAGATTCAAATTATGTTGGAATTCAAAGTCTTTTTCAAGATCCTCGTGCTGCTGCTTTGGTTAATATTAATCACATAAATTCTATTAGCGGTACGACACTCCTACATGACGTTACACGAAAAAGAGATTTAGATATGGTACAATTCTGTTTAGATCATGGTGCTGATGTTTCTATTAGAGATCGCAAAGGAAAATTTCCTATTGACTTGACTAAAGATGAAAAAATAAAATCTTTGCTTAAACAAGGTAAGTTTTACTTACTATTTACTAATTATTATTTATTATTATACCAATCTCAGTTTCTAATTATACAGGGGCACCTGCAACAAATATTGTAATTACTTCTTTACCTAATCAGCCACCAACGTTGAAAGGGTACTTGCATAAGTGGACAAATTATGCTGGGGGTTATAAGAGTCGGTGGTTTGTACTTGAAAATGGTAGGTTACCAAAATATATTACGTATATTACATGACACAGGTCGAATGATGGGCACAAGTCGGATGTCTGATTTTAAGTTGATTATTACCTCAATTTTTGTTGCAACAAAAATCGACATCAATCGGATAGTAACCAAATAGTAATCAACTTAAAATCAGGTATCCGATTTGTCATAATTCGACCTGTGTGAGTTACACTGTTAATACCTTAACTAAAATTTAACTAAAATTTATACATATTTATTTATTTGATTATAGGTATGTTGTCATATTTTAAAAATCAAGATGATGCTGGAAATTCATGTCGTGGCTCGATCAATATGAAAATAGCAAAAATTTCAGTTGACAGCACAGATAGATCAAGATTTGACATTATTGGTAAAGGTTCTGTAAGATACCATTTACGTGCTAATAATCCTAGTGAAGCACAAAGATGGGTAATTGCATTAACTCAATCGTCAACATATTATGAGAAAAATGCTAAAGGTCGTAGACAAAGTATTATCGACGATTCTGTTAGTGATGAAATGCGAGTGGGTCGAAGTATTCACAGGTCCGAATCTCATGCTGATAATTCAACTTATGCTGATTCCGATCGTGATCGTTCAAGGTCACCATCAACTCAATCGATTGATTTGGAAAATATTCCTGGTGATGATTCTTATCTAATGAAAATTAGTTCCACAAGAGCACAGTTAGAATTACAAAATCAATTATTAGAATCTCTTACTTCTATTGTTTCTGAACCTTCATCAGCAGAATCAGAAGCAAATACCGTAATAGAAACTTTTACACAATCTCTTAGGACACTTCATAATCTTGTTGATGATGTTCTTCGTGTATCAGAGGAACGTGATACGTACTGGAGTAGAAAATTGGAAAAAGAATTAGAAGCTAAACGACTTTGGGAGGAAAGTATGAGATTGCTTGCAATGGAAAAATCCGAAATGGAAAAACTTATACAACAAAATGTTCAAGAACAGAAAATGAGAAAAAAACAATTAAAGGCTGCTCTTGCAGAGAGTCAACTCAATTCTCCAGCAAGTCCATCGCGTCTATCTTCTACTGACATTCTTGAACCTATGAATAAACTTGATGATTCTTCTAATTTAGCAGATTATCATGGACAAAGAGTTTCAATGGAACGAGCAGCATCAATAATATCAATGTTGGCTGATGATTATGATTCTGATGAATTTTATGATGCCATGGACAATAACGACGAAGAGCAAGATGTTGTTAAATTATGTGACTTAGAGGTTGAATTGGATAATTCTAGTCCTTACATTGCGAGTTCTTATTGCGGTTATCCTGAACATATTCGCGAACAACTTCCACTTGATCAATCTTCACGACCTGATGTTTCTTTATGGTCAATTTTAAAGAATTCAATTGGAAAAGACTTGAGTAAAATAACATTACCGGTGTACTTTAACGAGCCAACATCAATGTTACAACGTATGGCTGAGGATATGGAATATAGTGATCTTTTGGATATAGGTGCGCGTCAAAAAGGAAGTACGGAGAGGATATTATATGTTGCAGCTTTTGCAATGAGTAATTACTCTAGTACTGTTGGCCGTATTGCTAAACCTTTTAATCCGTTATTGGTACGCATTTTTATCCTTTTTTTTTTTCGTGTTTATATATTTTTATTTAAAATAGATATATTCATACTGTAGGGTGAAACTTATGAATATGTAAGACGTGACAAAGGTTTTCGATATATTTCTGAACAAGTTTGTCATCATCCAGTAAGTTAATTTTAAACTAGCGTAAATTATCTAAATATCTTATCAAAAGAATTTAAGATTTATATCCTTCAAATTATTATAGCCAATAAGCGCATGTTATTGTGAATCCGCAAATTATGATTTCTTTGCCGAAGTGGATGTCAAATCAAAGTTTTGGGGAAAATCATTCGAAATTCTTCCACAAGGTGTGTCGCACGTTAGGCTAAAAGTGCCAAAAGAATATTGGCCGGAAAACGTCGACGGAACACCAGAGTCATTTGTTGCTATCGGGAATCCAAACGCGTTCTCTGAGCATTATTCATGGAAAAAAGTTACAACCTGTGTAAACAATTTAATATTAGGAACACCATGGATCGATCATTACGGAGATATGGTCATTACTAATCATTTAACGGGAGATACATGTGTTTTGACGTTTAAAGCTCGAGGATGGAGAGGAAAAGATGCATTTGAAATTAGAGGATATGTTAAAGATTCAAATAATAAGGAAAAATGGGAAATTGCAGGAAGATGGAATGAGAAATTAGTAGCAAGAAGAACTGATGAAAGTTTAGCCACTAATGAAGATTTAGGTAGTGCTTACAACACAGTTAATGAAGCTCCGGTAGATGAAATACTATTACCGTCACCGTCAACTTCTTTGACCTCAGTAAATCCAAGACCAATATATTTATTATGGAAACGAACTCCATTACCTGATGAACCTTTAACATTTAATCTTACAACATTTGCAGCTACGCTTAATGATCTACCTGATAGTTTAACAAATTGGATTGCACCAACGGATAGTCGATTTCGACCTGATCAACGTGCAATGGAAAGTGGATTATATGATACAGCTAGTTCCGAAAAGATACGATTAGAAGAGAAACAACGAGCAAAAAGGAAAAAGAGAGAAAATGGACTTATGCCAGCATTTGAAGCTAGATGGTTTAGCCGTGATATTGAACCTGATACAGGTGAGAAATATTGGAAATTTAATGATGAATATTGGAAAGAAAGAGAACGAGCTGGAAAAGAAAAATCTGAAGGGACCGGTGAAGGAAAATGGAATATTTCTGATGATGATGTTTTTTAATCGGACAATTAGATTACTTAGATATATAGATCTGTCAACTTAATCCTTGAACATTAAAAAATTTATCTGATTCATGATTCTTAGATTGAAAAAAAAGAGAACCACGTTTTGGGTTTGGGATGGTTTTTTTTATAGGGAGAAATTTATAGATAGAGGATTTAAATAATATTAGCACTAAATTTTTTATTTAAAAAAAATTTAAATTCATTTTGTTTAATAGCTTATTTGTTAATTAACAAAAATCATTTGAAGTATGGTGTTATTTTTGAATAAAAAGAACATACGTACGTACGATATGTATATAATAATCTCAATTTTTCGTGTAAGCAGAAAGTAATTATTTTCATTAGTCAAATGTTCACCGCATCTGATATTTTATATACTAACACGTAGCGTCCAGGGATGTAATTTCTAATGTTGGCTCGCGTTAAACTTGGTGCAAACTGAAGTTAGAAATTACACCTCTGGATTTCTGGACGTTTCGCGAAAATACAGTACTGACTTATTTAATATTTGCCCCTTTTAGTAATATCCACGTAATTATTGGATTAATAATTTACGCGTATATTTGAATCAATAACTTTTGATCCATTGATACGTTTCGAATGATTTTACTACCAAAATGACTGTCCCGACGAGACAATTCTAACGTGCCTAGATATCAGTAAGGATCTATGTCACTTGGGGGTGTTTAATAATTGAATTTAACTAATCCGAAATGCTTAATGATCTCGGGATCTTGTGATTGGATTTCAACGATTTGGGCATGTTAATATCGTCACATCGAGAAGGTCATTTTGGTGGTAAAATCATCCAAAACGGGTCAGTGAATCAAAAGTTATTCACTACGTATCAATGATTTTAGCATTTTTTTTTTAATAGTAATTTCAAATATACGCGGATATGGTTTTTATTAAGCTGTTCTGCGGTTGTAAACAAAAAGTGCCTAATGTTCCAATTACCGTATTCCGTTCGCCAAAGTACCCGGGTCTTTTTACAAATTTGGGCATTTTAAACCCCGATACATGGGTGGATATTTTTTACAAAGTTATATAGTTTCTATAAATTGTACTGAATATTCATAGCATTATACCCGGATATTTTACAGTTATCAAGGTGGGATATTATACATGTGGGTACTTTGGAGAACGGAATATGATATTTATTTTTTTAAATTAAGCTTCTAGATTTTTATTGACTAACCAGAATTGCAAAAATATTTACTATTTTGTTTATAAACTCAAATAACTTCAAAGTTTTTTTTTATCGAAATCTTAGATGCAAAAACATTGGTTTTGACTGTTTACTATTTTTATTTACTTGCCTTAGAAAGATTCGTGTCAATTTTAATTACAATGATATGGTACGCGTAGTATGTACGAATATGTATTTGAAAACTGAATTATTAACTTCTGGAAAGGTTACAAACCTTCTAAAATAATTGTTAGAATCTTCATCACTGGGTATAATTATTGACTATTGTAACCATCGTAAGGGAGAGTTTGGTGTTTAACTCCGATGGTTGACGTTAAAAGGTCACATGAATTTGGTAATAAATTATGGTATGCGGATATTTATGATTTATTAGACATTTATTATAAAATAATGTGAATTTATGTTATCTTTATTTAGGAGAGGAATTTGGAGAGCGTGTGTTCTTGCTCAACCAAGGATAAGAGCAAGCACTTATATACATGATAATTTCTTAGAGCTTGATCATAACAACTACACGGTAATTACAGCGTATTCGCGGTCACATGAATTAATGGGTGTGGCCCAGTGAAAAAAATTGACGTGCGTTACGTTCATTCCGCACGTTAATTTTATTTTTGTGAACGAAAAAAAATTTTGAATGTGTCATCACCGCACATTAAATTTATTATTTTATTAATAAAAATATCAGGTAATGTGCACCAATAGTATAAGTTAACTTCAAAGAGATGTAAATTAGAACCAAAAATAATGTGGGTATAAGAACATATATCCAAACTGATATATGGCTAATTAGATATCTATATTCATGTAATGTGCACATGTTAATTTTAAAACTTAGTACGCAGAGCGCACGACAATTTTAAAATTTAGTGCGCAAAGCGCACATAATTTCGGTCAATTTACAAACAGTCATTTAGTAAATTCTATAGATCGACAAATATTATAGTAAAAACATATAAAATTCAAACTGCAATAACTCTTTAACCAAAAAACCTCCAGAAATATAATTACATCCGTCAAGTTTGTTTTAACATACTTTTTATAGCAATAATGCCTTTTTTTTTATTTTTCATTATTTGGAGTATAGTAGAAGACTCCCAGTTTCTATGTAAAATTCTCGTTTTTGACGAATTGAGATTTCTGTCTGTCAGTCATCGCTGCGTGTTGTGTAACACAGAAATTTCATAACAGATTCTGGTAAGATAAAAAAATATCGAATAACCCGACAAGTACGTATAATTTTATCTATGTGGGTTTGCTTGGATCTTTACTATTAGAATTTATTATATGATCTGCACTATGTTTGTAAATTGACTGATAGGCCTCACCCCAATGAATTTAAGCCCCAACAATACTTTATACATTATACATCAGATAAGATAAGATTAACATGGCTATGATGGTACAATTATGGAAAGTAAGTGACAACGTTAAAGAATTAGACAATACGGAAATGGAAGACACAGGAAAAATTAATCGTTACACTATTGAGAATCCAAAATAGATTAAATATATTGTGTTGACTGACTTCGTATCTACTTGAGGATCTACTATTGTACTTGATTGATCATCCCGACCCACAATTTTTTTTTTGAGTGGTCAAGAAAAATGTTTTTGCATCTTAGATATCCGAGATGTTTTTATATGTGAATATTATATTTGAAACTATATATTAAACTTATTAATGGTGGTTATTTGAACCAATTAAATAGGCGTTGTATTCAAAATTCTTGCGTTTTTTCTAAAAATTGCTACGTATGATACTACTTAAAAACATTAATTAGTTTAGTAGATATTATACAGAACTATAGAATTAAGTATTGTTTTTGCGAAACTCGGAATATTCATTTTTAGATGGTTTGCACGCGTCACTCCATAAAAAATTGGCACATAGAAAATGAAACAGGGTATATTTAAAATGCAGAAATATAACTTTAAGAACTAATCTTTTTGCGAAAATTGTGAATTTTAACAGTCATTTGTCGTCTTACGGATTCATAGTTGCTGTCATGAAACGCTCTTTTCATTGCAGTAGCTAAAGCTGAGAATTAAATATGAAAATTTTAAAATTTTCAGGGTACATTTTTTTTATTTAGGTTAGAATTTAGAGTCATTAATAAAAGTAAAGCCATACAAAGTTAATTTTCTGATTTTCATATCATTAAAACTTCTGAACAAACCCGGCTGCTGTTGTGACTTGGCTAACATGAGATCAAATTAGCTCAGGGTTACAAGCATAGGTTATGCGGAATGGTTGTTCATTAGGGGATTCGGAATTAATGATAGCATGTTATTAAGGAATGTACAATATTTATTTAGTCGGAGCAAAAAAGAATCAATTTTTTATATCAGCTGAATCCTCGTTCTTTATTAGTTTAGTCGTTGTATTTATACTTTTCAAATTCTAGTGGTCCGAGACCAAAATCTTGGGTCTCAAACCGATATCGGTGGTCCTGGATGGTCTCAGACCAATATCGGTGTTCCTGGACCAAGATATATATGGTCTCAAGCCACGATCTGTGGTCCCCAGATCTTCTATACACAGCCACTTAATAACGAAACACGGGAAAAATATACACAGAAAAATTTAACAAAAAATTTTACAACACCCACCCGGCTTTAAATTTATATATAAATCTGGTTATTGTATATACCGGTAGATGTAATTTTTAAAAGGTTATAAAATTTATATAATATATATTATTAAATAAAAAAATTTTATATCTCGATATTGAATTGAAAAAAATTGACTGGCAAAACCAGAAAATTTACTTTGCTTCGCCTAAATTTTAGTAGATTAGTAAGACTCCAAAGATCAACTTCAGCCGATCTTGCCACATTCATTATACAGAAGTACTTGAATCGGAATTATTTATTATAGTTTCTGTTGATGTATGATCTTTTCTATGATTACAAATAAAAATCTCTAATGCAAATTTCTATCGCATCTTTTATAAATGTTCGATTTCAATATTATTTTTATTATAATATTATTGTATAAGTATTATTCATAATCTTCAATTTGGACTATTTTTTATTCGAGAAATTTTTAGAGAAGCTGTTTTTATTATAAAGAATTTACAATATTAATACACTGACTTAAGTGTTCAATTACCTGATTTTAAAATATATATGAAGGAAAACCTACAATTAGGCTTTCAAGCCGTCTATGGTAAATCTATAGATTTACCATAGACGTCACAAAATATACTTGAAAGCCCGATTGTGGATTTTCCTTTAATCATAGTTGGTCATATGATGAAAAATAACAGGACATTTTTCATTGGAGTTCATGTCACGCCCACGTGTTACGTAGCAGCACTCGAGTGAAATGAGCTCCGATGAAAAAATTTCGTATTATTTATACAGCTGATCTCTTCAACAATAATTTCACCGACTTAGCCGGCATCACTTAGGGTGAGGTTTAGTGTTTAATTAGTTGCAGTTATCGTTATTTTTAGCTTTGCTAAGTGAGCTGTCGATGAAATGATTGTCGTTCCTATATTGGCATGTAAAAATTTTTTGTCGTGATTTTTGCATACTGTAAGTGATGTCATTTATAAATTTTACATGTTCATATCACATGATCAATAAATAAAACATGACTTACAGGTTTTTCCTTGGCGTAATTGCCAAGAACTTTTTTTTTAATAACTTACGTACCCGTCCCTGCAAAAAATTATAGTTCAAGATTTTGATAAATTTGGATTTTTATCGCCAATTAGAATGCAAGATCTGGTATAACGCAATTAGCAGCAGATAGGGTTATTTCAAGCTTAGCCAATTAAGTTTGCGAATTTTTAACAGAAAAAATAATATTAAACAAACATATTTCTAAACTTACTTTAAAGCACTAATAAAAATATCAGGAAGACAATTTTATACATAACATCAACCTTAAACTAAACAATTGCGTTTACCGCGCTTTAGCGATCCCCCCAAAATTTCGATTTCCCCATCAATTGGCATGAAATACCGATTTATCTATATTAATCAATGTTTTTCCGTTATCTTGTGTTTTACAATAATTGATTATCTGCGCCAGAGTTATGCTATTTGTTACATTTTATGGTATTTTGTGGACACAACAGCTTTCTTAATATAACTAATATAACTGAAGCCATTGTGTGAAATACAAAAAATCATGGTTCCTAAATGTGAAATTCCGGCCTCACACCCCCACACCCATGACAATCCTATTAAACGTAAACATTGTCACATGCTTATTCATGATGGTTTACGATACTTCCCGGTGCCTGATAATTTTTTTTTTTTTTTCTTGATTAAATATAATCGACAATTGCATCTGGAATCTAGAATTAACTTACACGTTAACTTTTCTCCAACAAAAAATTAGTCTTCTTCGTAACATTCAATTTCGCAATATTTTCCCTAATATCATGCCTGTTCTCTCAGCTAATCTAGGTTTCCCACGTATGGGAGCAAATCGGGAGTTAAAACGTCAAGTTGAAGCATATTGGTCGGGCAAAGTTGACGTTTCTGCTCTTTTAAAAACTGCTCATGAGTTGCGCAAAAATCATTGGATACTTCAAAAGAACGTACTTGGGTTAGATATTGTTCCTAGTAATGATTTCTCTTTTTATGACCACGTGTTGGATAATGCATTTACAGTTGGTGCAATTCCGAAGCGTTATCGAGATGTTTTCATTAAGGCAAATGATGACTTGTTGCCCTCTGCATTGGAAGGTGATTTGTTGTCTACATACTTTGCAATGGCAAGAGGATTCCAACAACTTTCAAGCGAAGGCTCAGAATTACCTGTCATAGACTTGGAAGCAATGGAAATGAAAAAATGGTTCGATACAAATTGTAAGTGATATTCTTTTACTATTATTACTATTGTATGCTAAATTTCTCAATTTTGCTTAATTTTTTCTTTCGCTTTATTTATACTTTCAGATCATTACATCGTTCCTGAATTCGATTCAACCCAGCAGTTCAAGTTGACTAGTAATAAATTCCTTGAAGAATATAAACAAGCGAAATCACTCGGTATTGAAACCCGTCCGGTATTGATCGGTCCTGTATCCTTTCTCCTTCTTGGTAAAGCTTCTCCAAACTCTCCAGCAGGCTTTGAACCGATTCAACTTTTGGATAGACTTTTACCCGTTTATGAAGAGATCATCAAGCATCTGGCTGAAGCCGGTGCATGCTCTATTCAACTTGATGAACCATGTTTAGTTCTAGACTTAGATCCCAAAATGGCTCAAAGCTATAATGTAGCGTACTCTTGTCTTTCAGTAGCTGCAAAGAAATCAAGCGCGGAACCAATAAAGATACATCTTACTACATATTTTGGAGATATTACACCAAACCTGTCCTTCGTACTTCCTCACCTTCCTATTGACAGCCTTCATATCGATCTCGTTAGAGAACCTCAACAATTTGAAACAATTCTTAGTGCTGCCGCAAAGCACCCGACTATTCAACTATCAATTGGAATTATTAACGGTCGTAATATCTGGAAAAGTGATCTATGTGCTGCTTTTGACAAGGTTAAAAAAGCTGTGGAAGTTTTAGGGGCAGATCGAGTTATTATTGCTCCATCATGTTCGTTGCTTCATACTCCACATTCTTTGGATGCTGAAACCGAATTGAACCCCGAAATCAAAGATTGGCTTTCTTTTTCTGTTGAAAAAATTAAAGAAATTGTTCTTCTTACCAAAGCTGCGAATAATGGTATTGATTGTATTAAAGATGAATTGGAGGCTAACCAACGATCTATTCAAGCTCGTCGTACTTCTCCAAAAACTCATAATCCTGCTGTTCAGGAAAGATTAGGAAGTATAACCCATGATATGATGCACCGTAGATCAACATTCGACAAACGTTGGGAAAAACAGCAAGAGGTTTTCAAATTACCCCGTTTTCCCACTACCACGATTGGTAGTTTTCCTCAAACTAGTGAAGTTCGTAAAGCGCGCGCGGCATTCAAACGTGGTGATATTTCACAAGAGAAATATAATGAATTCATTAATGAAGAAATAAAAAAGTGTATTCAACTACAGGAGAAAAATGATCTTGATGTTCTTGTTCATGGAGAATTCGAGCGTACTGACATGGTGGAATTTTTTGGTGAACATTTGGAAGGATATACATTTACAAAAAATGGCTGGGTCCAAAGTTATGGTTCACGTTGTGTTAAACCTCCAATTATTTTCGGTGACGTTTATCGTCCGAAACCTATTACAGTTGAAGTTGCTAAATATACACAATCTTTGACCAAGAAACCAGTGAAGGGAATGTTAACTGGTCCTGGTATTTATTATCAATTTTTTTATTTTTTTTTTAACCTAGTCTTATCTTTATCAATTAATAATTATTCAAATTTTATGAATTACGTAAATAGTTACCATGTTACAATGGTCATTCGTTCGTGATGACCAACATAACAAGTTGACTACACAACAACTTGCTTTGGCAATCCGGGATGAAGTCTCTGACTTGGAAGCAGCCGGAATTAATGTAATTCAAATTGACGAACCGGCTTTACGTGAAGGTTTACCTTTACGTCATAGTAAATGGCAGGAGTACTTGAATTGGGCCGTTGATTGGTAAGCCTTCTAAAAATTCTATTATATATTCTTAAGTTTAAAATAAGATTATTAAAAGTTTTCTTGCTCACATTGCATTTTATAGTTTTCTTCTTGCTAGCTGTTCGGTAGCTGATACTAAACAAATTCATACTCATATGTGTTATTCGGACTTTTATGATATAATTGATGCAATTATTCGCATGGATGCTGATGTGATCACAATTGAGAACTCACGTTCTAATCTAAAGTTTCTCCGTGGTGATTCATTTACCTACCCGAACGAAATCGGACCAGGAATTTATGATATACACTCGCCACGTATCCCGCTTCACGAAGAAATGGAACATCGGTTGGAAGAAATGTTAAAACGATTGAAACGTAATAGTGTTTGGGTTAATCCGGATTGTGGATTAAAAACTAGGAAGTGGAATGAAGTTGATTTGGCTTTGAAAAATATGACCGATGTCGCGAAAAAGTTTAGATCTAAAAGTTGTTAGGTCTAATATATATCAAAAGTAGTAGCATTTATTGACATTTATCATATTATGGTTAGTTTGGTTTATTGTCATATATACATATTTCTTGTTAAAAATATTTTTATAGTCGCGACCGTGTATTATTGGAATTTGAAATACTTAAATTTATCATAGTATGGTTAGTTTGGTTTATTGTCATATATACATATTTCTTGTTAAAAATATTTTTATAGTCGCGACCGTGTATTATTGGAATTTGAAATACTTAAATATTTATTTGTATCATAAATGACACTTTAGAATAATATTCTTTTATTTCAAATTTGCCAATTTTTATTTCATATTACTCTTTTCGAATTGAACTTTATAAAATTTTTGGGTCCCTTGTTTCCCGTTGTTGCTGTCGGGATTTTAAATTTTGGGAATTTAGAATGCACATACTTACTTACAATTGCATTGAACTAGATATATCTTTCACGCAGTGTTGTTAAATATGCCAAGTCATTTGAGTCATTTCAAATTTATTATTGATTTCATATATAAAAGTCATTTCAGGTCATTTGGAAAGTCATTTATGACTTTTTTAGGTCATTTAACAACGAGGTAGATCTAGAATTCGTCCACTTATCCCATGGGTACTATGTAACAACCCGTGTTTTTTTTTCTAGGTTATTTTCACCGGTCTATATTAAAATCACATGATTTTCATATAGACCGGTGTTACGCGTCAAAATTTTTATGTTAATTATTAAAATTTATTTATTAATAAAAATCCTTTATTTATTCGACTATTTAATTAATAAAAGACGCATTTATACAATTATTCAATTAAAAAAGCATATTTAATTATTAAAAATTACATATTTTGAAAATGATAGTGAAAATGATAATGAATTTCTTTGTTTGCATTATCATTTTGTTTGTGAATATCATGGAACGTCAAAGGCATAAACCGATTTGTTGTATCACTTAATGGTGGTCTTGGTGGTGCCAATGATTCCATAGATAAAGACCTTTGAATACGTGCTGTTTTTTCAGTATTAGAATTTTGTGCTTGAGGTTCGTTTGATAATATTCTTGAAGGTGGTTTAAAAGGTGCATATAAGTTTGATTTTAACCTATTTGATAATCTTTGTGATTTTCTTTGTGATTGATCTTGCATTTGCCCATGCGATTGATCTTGCACTTGCCCATGCGATTGAACTTGCACTTGCCCATGCGATTGAACTTGCACTTGCCCATGTGATTGATCTTGCACTTGCCCATGCGATTGATCTTGCACTTGCCCATGCAATTTATCTTTCAGTTGCCCATGCGATTGTTCTGGCCCATGTGATTGTCCTTGCCCATGCGATTGTTCTGGCCCATGTGATTGTCCTTCCCATGCGATTGTTCTTGCCCATGTGATTGTTCTTGCCCTTGCTCATATGATGATTCCAATTCTCATTAAAAATTGTTAAAATTAGAATTGATTTTTTTTTTTACCAAAAAATTTAAATTAATTAAAATCTAATACCTTCGTCCAGATCATCCTCTTTAAAGCTCATATAGTTATTAGCATCCCCGGGAAAGTAATTAAATTCCTCATAAGGAATATCATCGAAATCTAAAGGAATTAGCATCGATGTATTCCTTATTTTTTGATTATCATTTGGATCATTATAGGCACGAATTCCTTCACGACTACGATGCCTAGAGAATTCCATACGCTCATCTTCTGGAACATTTAGGTCCTTGAGCCGTTGGATTGCTGTGCATTGTAGTGAATGGTTGCTAATTTTTCGACCATTTTCAAGATTTATACCTGTGATTTCAGCTATTTTCGCCATCATAGTATTTAGCTTATTCATACCCATACGGGTTTTTTTAAATAAAACACCTTTATTTATATCTAGTAAAAAAAAAAAAAAGTTAATAATTAAATATAAAAAATAAATAATCCCAAATCATTAAACACTTTAAACCCTTCGCTGCCCGGGTAGTCTCTAAAAAAAGTGATCTACAAGAATCTTTAGGACGTAAAGATATCATAAACAAGATATCTTGAATGGGTTTAAAGCAATTATTAGTATGATCGGAAGGAATTGGAATCTTTCGTGCAGAGCTCTTCCCATATTTATTTCATTTCAACGCCCCACGTTGATTATTCTTTTCATGGTTAAAGGTAAGATAAAGACCACCATCATCACGACGTGATATATCTTTAAAATTGATCCTTTCTGCATCCCCACCACGTAGACCACACAGAAGCGATAACCAGAAAAAAACTCTTTGTGTTAGCCCTTCATTAGTATCTACTTTTATTTTCTCATGATCAAGTATTTTGATAATCTCTTCCGAAGTTAGTGGAGATGCTTTATCCATTTCACCCAAATCTGCATTTTGGAGTTGCTTCATCTTTCCATCAAGAGTCCTCAATACTTTGCCAAAATGGTACGAATCCCACAATTTACAAGTTTTGATTTCACTATTCTCTTTAAGGTAATGAGCTATAGAGGCATAACAGTTATGAATGCTCTCTGCCTTATAGTTATTTCCATCTAAACGCTTCAACCAGGTAATGAATCTGCAGAGAAAGTTTTCCAATTCTGCTGTCGTCTCAATTTTGTCAATACCTTTTTCATAGTTTATTATTTCACAAAACCTGTCTACAGAACGTAGCCATTTCAAAGTGCACTTGTCAGTGTTTTCTACACGTGAAAGTCTCTGCAATTCCAAGACTTCTTCTTCGCTAGGAGCACTATTACGGTTTCTTTTACCCATTTTTACTTAAAAAAAAATTAAATCGATAAGCAGATCAATCTAAAATTTGATTACTAAAATAAGAAAGTCTAAATTATGAAATCGGAAATTTATTTGATTACGTAGTTGCACGGGTCATACGTCGTACCCATGGGATAAACTAGTTATTTAATGGATATCTGTGAACACGGTGTATTCCACAGAATAATAGTAAACCACGTGGCCGAAGGCTACGTGATTTTACTATTATTCTGTGGAATACACCGTATTCACAGATATCCATTAAATAACAAGTATGTATCATGTGACTTTGCACGAAGTGCGAGAATAGGGTGTCATGAAATAGGCGATGTGAAATATATGCAAAATAATTAATAGAGGACTAGTTTTAAGACCCGGGCATTGCCTCGGGTTCGAGTTTCTAATTTTTTGCTAATTCTTAGGCCTCAACGTTATTAGTTTTAAGATCCGGGTGTTGTCTCAGGTTCGAGTTTCTAATTTTTTGCTAATTCTTAGGCCTCAATGTTATTAGTTTTTAAGACCCGGGCGTTGCCTCGGGTTCGAGTTTCTAATTTTTTGCTAATTCTTAGGCTTCAACATTATTAGTTCTTAGAATCGTGTTGTTGCCTAAGTTCGAGTTTTTTGCTAATTCTTAGGCCTCAACATTATTAGCTTTTAGGACCCAGTTGTTAACTGGGGCTGAGTTTCTAATTTTCTGCAAATTCTTAATTTTAATTCTTAGGATTTGGGCATTGTTCTGAGTTCGAGTTTTTAATTTTTTGCTAATTCTTAGGCCTCAATGATATTAGCTTTTAGAATCTAGTTATTGTCTGAGTTCAAGTTTTTAATTTTTGCTAATTCTTAGATTTAAATTATATTAGCTTTTAGAACTTGGTTGTTGTTTAGGTTTGAAATTCTAATTTTTTGCTAATTCTAAAATCTTAACAATATTAATTTTTATGATCTAACATTGTTTTGAGTTTAAGTTTTTAATTTTTTTTTTAATTTTTAAACCCAAATTATATTAGTTTTAGATTTAAATTATATAGAATTTAAGTTTTTAATTTTTTATTTTATATACAATTAATAATACTTTTAGACTATATACAATTAATTATTACTTTTAGATTATATACAATTAATTATTAAGTAATAATATTTTTAGACTATATACAATTAATTAAATAATAATACTTTTATACTATATACAATTAATTAAATAATAAGAAGTTTAATATGCTTCGCACCTTTGCATTAAGCACCTTAATATGATTGGCTAATTTTGTAGATCATTATTTATAAAAAAATAAACAAAGTTTTATTAATTTTCTTTAGATTAAAACTAACTCATAAAAAATTAAGAAAATAGATAAAAATGTTTTTGCAATTATATGCAAAATTTGATGCTGAACAAGTTTAATTAGAAACAAAAAAGATATTAACATAATAAAATCTAGAGAAAATGTAAAAAATATGTAAAAAAAATATGAAAATGCAAATATATTTAAATTTTATTATGCTAACCTTTTTAATGTTTCTAATTAAACCTGTTTAGTATCAAATTTTACATATAATTGCAAAAAATTTAAATTAATAAAACTGTTTATTTTTTTAAAAATAATGATCTGCAAAATTAGCCAATCATATTTAAGTGCGATATATAAGCATATCGCAGGGTGTGAGATATGCATTTATTCAAATACAGTTAACTCTTTCTAAGTGTAGCTTACCGGGACCTATAAAATTTTCTTAAGTAAAAAAAAAAATTCTGCATTTAGATAGAATCTGCATTTAGAGAATATAAGTTCATTATAATTTTATATAGCTTGGGACCAAAAAACAACCTGCATTTAGAGAGAATTTAATATAACTTGCATTTAGGGAGTGTGTATTTAGAGAGAGTCGACTGTAATAATTTTTTTTTTACCAGTTAAATGACCTCTTTGGCTTGAAAGCTTTTATGATATCTTATAATACAATTACAATAATAGTACATCAAGCTATACATGCACTTTTGGTGCCTAATTTAAGTAGTCTGCCCAAAGCAGTAGTACTATGCTAAGAGTTCTATACTATCTGTCATACCTGCACCTCAACTACAAGGGGTATCCATTTAAACTATCTGATTACAACTGCTATCAACTACCCAACTAACCACAGGCTTACTCACTATTTATATATGGATTTTGCATCACCCACAGCTTCAATAAATACATAAAGGATACATACCAGTATCCCTTTATCATCCCGATATTTATCCTTTATGTATCCATTATTAA